TAATAATAATAATAATAATAATTATTATTATTATTATTATTAAAGAAAGCTGTTACGTTTATTTGTATAGCACTTTTCATGACTCATATTATTTTAAAGCAGAATCATGAAATGTTTCACAAACATAAACACTATAAATGTGTTTTATTTCTTCTAAAATATAATTATTAAAATATAATTATTTTTATTATTATTACTACTACTGAATAAAACTATTAAACAAAATAAGAAATATTACTATTGTTTTATTTTGCCGTATTGAAAAAAAAATCATTTTATTTTATAGTACAGCTGTAAAATTACAATACTAATATTCATGGCGGTCTTATTTTCTCCATTTTCAAATGTTTAACCGACTTTTATTTTGACTGTAATAACAACAATAATATCAATAATTATAATCGTTGTTTTTAATTATTTAAAAAATGTATTTATTAAAGAAAACTTTTACAAACATCATAAACACTATGATCTTGTATTTTAATTCTTCTAAAATATAATTATTAAAATATAATAATTATTATTATAATTATTATTATTACTACTACTGAATAAAACTTTTAAACAAAATAAGAATTATTACTAGTGTATTATTTCACTGTATTTAAGAAAAACAATCATTTTATTTTATAGTACAACTGTAACATTACAATAGCTGTCATAATTTCTTCATTTTTAAATGTTAAAGAGCCGGTTTATGAGTGATTCTCATTACAAGCGACCCAAACTTGGATACAGAGACGATTATTTTGATTAATTGTGCAGCCCTATAAACAGCACACACATTTTCTGCAGAATGTACAAATGCTGTTCTTTCATTATTTGAATCTAAAACCAAACTCACGCTTCGAGTGTCTTTTCTCTTGTCTCCTCTCAGGAACATTGCGCGTGTGGTCAGTCAGGTCCACGCCTTTCAGGAGCGTCTCTATTCCTACCCTCCCGACCTTGAGCTGCAGTCGTACCTGCGTGGGAGAATCGCACGCTTCGGCAGGGGTGACATCCCGCTCCTCGCCTCCGACAACCACATCAACTTCAGCCAGACGCCCGCCGCTCACCGGATCCACGACACGCTGCGCCGCGTCAAAGCATCTTTCCAGTGACCGGCACAGATGTGCAACGAGCCAGAACTATGGTGACCAAGAGAGCTCAGTGCGCTGCAACTTAAGAAAACACATGCAAATTGAAAAAAAAAACACCTGCAAATTAAGAAAACATCTTCGTTTCTTTGACAGCACATGTGCTGCAAGTACACACAATACAACCAAGTACAGAAACGCACTGCAAATACTCACAACACAAACAAATACAAACATGCAGCAAAAACAGAAACACACCACAAATACTCACAACACAAACAAATACACGCTGCAAAAACAGAAACGCACCACAAATACTCACAACACAAACAAATACGAACACGCTGCAAAAACAGAAACACACCGCAAATACTCGCAACACAAACAAATACAAACACGCTGCAAAAACAGAAACACGCAGCAAATACTCGCAACACAAACAAATACAAACACGCTGCAAAAACAGAAACACGCAGCAAATACTCGCAACACAAACAAATACAAACACGCTGCAAAAACAGAAACACGCAGCAAATACTCGCAACACAAACAAATACAAACACGCTGCAAAAACAGAAACACGCAGCAAATACTCGCAACACAAACAAATACAAACACGCTGCAAAAACAGAAACACGCAGCAAATACTCGCAACACAAACAAATACAAACACGCTGCAAAAACAGAAACACGCAGCAAATACTCGCAACACAAACAAATACAAACACGCTGCAAAAACAGAAACACGCAGCAAATACTCGCAACACAAACAAATACAAACACGCTGCAAAAACAGAAACACGCAGCAAATACTCGCAACACAAACAAATACAAACACGCTGCAAAAACAGAAACACGCAGCAAATACTCGCAACACAAACAAATACAAACACGCTGCAAAAACAGAAACACGCAGCAAATACTCGCAACACAAACAAATACAAACACGCTGCAAAAACAGAAACACGCAGCAAATACTCGCAACACAAACAAATACAAACACGCTGCAAAAACAGAAACACGCAGCAAATACTCGCAACACAAACAAATACAAACACGCTGCAAAAACAGAAACACGCAGCAAATACTCGCAACACAAACAAATACAAACACGCTGCAAAAACAGAAACACGCAGCAAATACTCGCAACACAAACAAATACAAACACGCTGCAAAAACAGAAACACGCAGCAAATACTCGCAACACAAACAAATACAAACACGCTGCAAAAACAGAAACACGCAGCAAATACTCGCAACACAAACAAATACAAACACGCTGCAAAAACAGAAACACGCAGCAAATACTCGCAACACAAACAAATACAAACACGCTGCAAAAACAGAAACACGCAGCAAATACTCGCAACACAAACAAATACAAACACGCTGCAAAAACAGAAACACGCAGCAAATACTCGCAACACAAACAAATACAAACACGCTGCAAAAACAGAAACACGCAGCAAATACTCGCAACACAAACAAATACAAACACGCTGCAAAAACAGAAACACGCAGCAAATACTCGCAACACAAACAAATACAAACACGCTGCAAAAACAGAAACACGCAGCAAATACTCGCAACACAAACAAATACAAACACGCTGCAAAAACAGAAACACGCAGCAAATACTCGCAACACAAACAAATACAAACACGCTGCAAAAACAGAAACACGCAGCAAATACTCGCAACACAAACAAATACAAACACGCTGCAAAAACAGAAACACGCAGCAAATACTCGCAACACAAACAAATACAAACACGCTGCAAAAACAGAAACACGCAGCAAATACTCGCAACACAAACAAATACAAACACGCTGCAAAAACAGAAACACGCAGCAAATACTCGCAACACAAACAAATACAAACACGCTGCAAAAACAGAAACACGCAGCAAATACTCGCAACACAAACAAATACAAACACGCTGCAAAAACAGAAACACGCAGCAAATACTCGCAACACAAACAAATACAAACACGCTGCAAAAACAGAAACACGCAGCAAATACTCGCAACACAAACAAATACAAACACGCTGCAAAAACAGAAACACGCAGCAAATACTCGCAACACAAACAAATACAAACACGCTGCAAAAACAGAAACACGCAGCAAATACTCGCAACACAGACAAATACAAACACACTACAAAAACAGAAACGCACCACAAATACTCACAACAAACAAATACAAACACACTGCAAAAACAGAAACACACCACAAATACTCACAACACAAACAAATACAAACATGCTGCAAAAACGGAAACACACTGCAAATACTCACAACACAAACAAATACAAACATGCTGCAAAAACGGAAACACACTGCAAATACTCACAACACAAACAAATACAAACACGCTGCAAAAACAGAAACACACCGCAAATACTCGCAACACAGACAAATACAAACACACTACAAAAACAGAAACGCACCACAAATACTCACAACAAACAAATACAAACACACTGCAAAAACAGAAACGCACCACAAATACTCGCAACAAATACAAATACAAACGCTGCAAAAACAGAAACACACCACAAATACTCACAACACAAACAAATATAAACGCGCTGCAAAAACATAAACGCACCACAAATACTCGCAACACAAACAAATGCAAACACGCTGCAAAAACAGAAACACACTGCAAATTCTCGCAACACAAACAAATGCAAACACGCTGCAAAAACAGAAACACACTGCAAATTCTCGCAACACAAACAAATGCAAACACGCTGCAAAAACAGAAACACACTGCAAATTCTCGCAACACAAACAAATGCAAACACGCTGCAAAAACAGAAACACACTGCAAATACTCACAACACAAACAAATATAAACGCGCTGCAAAAACATAAACGCACCACAAATACTCGCAACAAATACAAATACAAACGTTGCAAAAACAGAAACGCACCACAAATACTCGCAACACAAACAAATGCAAACACGCTGCAAAAACAGAAAAGCACTGCAAATACTCACAACACAAACAAATACAAACACGCTGCAAAAACAGAAACACTGCAAACACTCTCGCAACACAAACAAATACAAACACGCTGCAAAAACAGAAACGCACCACAAATACTCACAGCACAAATACAAACACGCTGCAAAAACAGAAACACACCGCAAATACTTGCAACACAAACAAATATAAACACGCTGCAAAAACAGAAACACACTGCAAATACTCGCAACACAAACAAAACACGCTGCAAAATCAGAAACGCACCACAAATACTCACAACACAAACAAATAGAAACACGCTGCAAAAACAGAAACACACTGCAAATACTCATAATATCTAAACAATATGTAGTAGTATAGTATATAGTATCCAAATCAAAATGTAATAAAATTAATTTATGTGTGATTTATGTGTAAATTATGTGCAATGTCTTAGCCACTAGGGATTGTTACATAGGGCTATACAGGCATCTAGTGGCAACACAATGATATTACAGATACTAAATTGTGCAAAATGTTTATCTTAACAGTCAATTTACAAATAATGCATTCAGATTTGTGGAACTCAATGCACTGAATCTCCACAATTTAGTGTCGTTACTATGACAACCAATTTGAATGTGACAAGCAACTGGTGTCTGAAAAGAATATATATATATAATTTGGGGGGGGAGCAATAGGGATTTCGCCTAGGGCGTCAAATTGGCTAGAAACGGCCCTGCTCGCAACACAAACAAATGCAAACACACTGCAAGTAGCACAAACCACAAAGGGGTTCCCAACAATGCTTATGAAAATTAACCATGGTTTTATTATAGTAAAAGTAGTTACCATGTATTGATTGCCATTTGTATAACCACAGTTGTACAAATACCATGGTTAGTTTAGTATGGTTAATTTTACCATGGTTTAACTATAGTAACCATTTTTTATTTTCTTTATTTTTTTTTTATAATAAAAATATATATTTATCATATATAGGCTATTTATTTATTTATTTTTATAATAAAAAAAAGTTGTAAAAGTATCCAGTTTACATTTCACAGTTACAGTAATTGTGTAGTATTTCGTCAGATTATTTAGGCTAATAATAACAAAAAAAAATTTAATAAAAAAGCTAAGGAATTATATGATCAGGATGTTAAAACCGATGACATCAAACAGATGATGTTTTCTTAATTTGCAGCTGATTTTTCTATTTGCATGTGTTTTTTTCATTTGCATCACATTGAGCTCTCTGGGCCACCGTATATAACTCCTTCAGAGACTCCAGACGTCTCCATCTGAGCGCTGAGGAGAGATGTTCACAGTCGCTCTCTGATAAGGAATTATGGGTCTGTGCCAGAAAACGTGTTCATTTTCCTGTAAATACTGTGAAAGCACAAGACGTGGGAGTTTGAATTGGTGATTTTCCTCATTTTAGGATGTGGAGGTGTTTTCTCATCTTTAACCTTAAGTGTCGTGAGCTTCTTCAAGCAGCCTTAGCCAGTTTCGGTTTGATGGATGACTTTCTTCAAAGAACAAAGACTTTTATATGCGTTTAAGTTTTTGACAGCTACACAACCAAATAATGCAGTGTGTAAATATATCGATTTATTAATAATTATTGAGAAAATAATTAATTATATTAATGCATTTTAGATAAGATTCAACTGTTTGAGATCGAAAAGCTTAAAATAATGCATTATTAACTCCTCCAGATAATAGAGAAAATATACTTTTAATAATAGAGTAAATGCGGTAGACTATATTTCTACACCGAATCTTAAATAATTGACATACTGTACTTTTGCATACATTTAAATATTTAACTCGTTGCATTTCTCCATTTTGTGGTGCACTTTAAATTTTGACACTTTTATTTAACTGTTTTAAAGTTCAGCTACGCATCTTTTGCATTAGAATTAAATTAAACTCACTGGTCACACTGTAGAAACTGAAAATGTTCTCAGATGCATTGTCAATAAGATTCTTCTTAACTTAAAGGGATAGTTCACCCAAAAACAAGTTGTTCCAAGCCTGTGAGTTTGTTTCTTGTGTTGAACACAAAAGAAGCTATCTTGAAGAATGTTGGTAACCAAACAGCTGCTGGTCCCCATTGATTTCCATAGTATGGAAAACACTATGAAAGTCAGTGGGGACCAGAAAGTGTTTGTTTACCCAACATTCTTCAAGATATCTTCTTTTGTGTTCAACAATAGAAAGAAATTCCGGTTTGGTTTTCAGGTTGCAGTTTCAGACTTGAATAGAACCAATTAATTTACATGTTTTACACTGCAGGATTACGAACGTATTAAATTATATAGGTGTTAATAGCCCATTAATCAGGTTGAGAGCTAATAAACTGCATCGTATTGAATGAAAACTTCTCATTTTGATGCAGTGTTTTTCAGGAATGCAGCATACATTTCCAGACATTCACCATCTTCACCTTTGACCTGTGATGGACTAACAACCATAATTTTATGACATGTTATGTTTCATCCTTTGAATCTGATGGCTCCTCAGCTTCTGTGATGATAGTAAAGCCTCCACAAGACAGCATCTCAGAGAAAGCAGTAGTTCATCTGGGTATTGTTCAGTCACTACACACAGTTAAAAGTTTAATACATTTCCAGACATTCACCATCTTCACCTTTGACCTGTGATGGACTAACAACCATAATTTTATGACATGTTGTGTTTCAGCCTTTGAATCTGATGGCTCCTCAGCTTCTGTGATGATAGTAAAGCCTCCACAAGACAGCATCTCAGAGAAAGCAGTAGTTCATCTGGGTATTGTTCAGTCACTACACACAGTTAAAAGTTTGGAATAATTATGATTTTTTTAAATGTTTTAACGAGTCTCTTCTGCTCACCAAAGCTGCATTTATTTGATCAAACATACAGTAAAAAAAAAAACGTATATTATTACAGTTTAAAATAACAGTTTTCTATGTGAATATCTGTTAAAATGTAATTTATTTCTGTGATCAAAGCTGAACTGATATTTTCAGGATTCACAGATGAATAGAAAGTTCAAAAGAACAGCATTTATTTGAAATATTTTTTTTTTTTTTATTATAAATGTCTTTTGATCAATTTAATGCGTCCCTGATGAATAAAATTTTTTTTTATTATTTTTTACTTAAGTCTTACCCCAAACTTTTGAATGATAATGTATCAAGGTTTCCACAAAAATATTGTGCAGCACGACTGTTTTCAACATTGATAATATCTGTTAAAATGTAATTTATTTCTGTGATCAAAGCTGAACTGATATTTTCAGGATTCACAGATGAATAGAAAGTTCAAAAGAACAGCATTTATTTGAAATATTTTTTTTTTTTTTAATTATAAATGTCTTTTGATCAATTTAATGCGTCCCTGATGAATAAATTTTTTTTTTATTATTTTTTACTTAAGTCTTACCCCAAACTTTTGAATGATAATGTATCAAGGTTTCCACAAAAATATTGTGCAGCACGACTGTTTTCAACATTGATAATAATCAGAAATGTTTCTCGAGCAGCAAATCAGCATATTAGAATGATTTCTGAAGATCATGTGACACTGAAGACTGGAGTAATGATGCTGAAAATACAGCTTTGATCACAGAAATAAATTACAGTTTAACAGATATCCACATAGAAAACAGCTATTTAAATTGTAACAATATTTCACAATTTTACTGTATTTTTTTATCAATTAAATGCAGCCTTGGTGAGCAGAATTACTTTTTCAAAAACTTTAAAAAATACTCTTGTCCTGTAGTGCACTGGACGTTCATAGAATTGTGCAAAAACATGTATGCATCATTAAACAGCAAACAAAATATCTGTGCTTCTGACATGTCAGTAACTGGATATGAACTACTTTTTTTATACAACAAAAAGTATCGCACTCATAACCGTTCTTATTGTATTCCCTAACACAGCAGCACGGTGATTTTTGCTTAAAAGGTTTTCTTTAAAACCATCAGTGTGTTCGCTGATCTGATGACTGTCAATTAAATAAGATGAATTTGCATTACGATCCACACACTGCTCGCTGTTCTTGGATGCCATCATATCATACCACATTCGAATTAAATGGAGCTCCGCGGTTTGTTTCGGAGTCTCACGCGGAGGAGAGGAAGCGCAGCGGATCCTTCTCATTGTTCCGCGGCGGATCAAAGCGCTTCGGATAAAGGCTTTAATTGCGACTCAAAGAGCTCGAGCTCCGGCACTATATAGATCACTGATAAAGGAAACAGTCAACATGCCGTTATCATCATTGTCCAGCTAAACGATCCTTTCCAAGGCTCTGTCTCTCATCCACAGGCATTCAAATACAGTCTGATAACACCAAATCCCTGATTAACTGCAGACCTCTGTGCCAAAGCCGCCTGACATGCCATTATTTCGGATTTATCAGTATTATTATTGAATCACGGGCTTTGTTTCATCACGAAACCTCAAATAAACACGCAATTACGTAAAGACTTTTGAATTGAGTCGTTATATTTCCTTCCAACACCTTTTGGCATGTAATATTTTTTATTTATTAAAAAATTGCCAAACCATCTTATGCACTTAATTTCTTTTTTTAAGTGAAGACTAGCTATTTAAACTTATTGATCTCTAGATTCAGCTTTACTGGTTTGGTTAAATTCAGCTTTACAATGTTTTAGCATGAGTGACATTAAATATGCATAACCCTATACATGCACATTTGTGCATATGCAGAAATACAATTGTATATAAAGCAAATCAATGCAAGTAAACTTTGCACAGGTTTAGGTTGGTGCAGTGAGATGTTTTCACGGTCTCTAGTAGTTGTGTTGAATCAGTGGTTCAGGCTTGAGCTTGTCCGGGTGTGAATTAGCATTTGAACTGCTGGTCAATCAAAGTTAATTGTGTTGCTACTGTAATCCCTTTGATCGTGATGTTTGCCGACCGCGCCAAACGCTGCTGTGATGGACGGTGGCGCCAGAGACTCCACAGGCAGCAGCATGTGTTAATACACCATCATTTGAACTACAGTCGAATCACCTTAGTGTGTGTGTGTGTGTGTGTGTGTGTGTACCTGGTAATTATCACGTTATGGGGACCAAATGTCCCCACAAGGATAGTAATACTAGTAAATTTTGACCTTGTGGGGACATTTTTGAGGTCCCCATGAGGAAACAAGCTTATAAATCATACAGAATGAGTTTTTTTGAGAAAGTAAAAATGCACAAAGTTAGTTTCCTGTGAGGGGTAGGTTTAGGGGTAGGGTTGGTGTAGGGCAATAGCACATACAGTTTGTACAGTATAAAAACCATTACGCCTATGGAATGTCCCCATAAAACATGGAAACACAACATGTGTGTGTGTGTGTGTGTGTGTGGAGACACTGCAGTACAGCAAAACAGACTTGTTAAAAAAAAATCAGGAGGAAGCCACAACAAATAAATATATTTTTTTCTGATCGCTGAAAACCAAAAGAAAAAAAAGAGGCTGATATATAATCAAAGTTAGTCAAATTTGGGAGCAGATATGTTGGTGTGTTGTAGAAATTTTTTTTTCGTTTCTATAAGGTTCTGACCGTGTTACTTTCTAAAAGTAACGTTGTTTTATCATAATTTGTTTAATGAAGTATTTATATTTTTAAAAATAAATTAAAATGTAAATAAAAAAGTCTGAAGGTAAAATAAGTCAAAATACAAGGATTTATTAGCGGGATATGGTAAAAATTGGTTAAATTAAAACATTTTTAAAGTTTTACTAAAGTTATGTTGTGACATTATTACAATTTCTGTTTTCTATGTTAATATATTGTACGATTTTCAGCATCATTACTCCAGTCTTCAGTGTCACATGATCTTCAGAAATCATTCTAATATGCTGATTTGCTGCTCGAGAAACATTTCTGATTATTATCAATGTTGAAAACAGTTCTGCTGCACGATATTTTTGTGGAAACCGTGATATATAAGCAATCGACGCATATTTCGCATGATATATAGGAGTCAAATACAATGATTTATTATCAGAATTATGTTGAGAATTGGTGTAAAATATTTAAAAAGTTTTACTAATCGTTTAAGGTTGTTGTTGTTAAGTTTCTTGGCTTTAAGCTTTAAATTCCCAATATTAACGCTGCAGTTTTCGCCATAAATGCGCCATTCGGATCCAGTTGTTCTGACACTCCATCTATGCAGACAGCTGGATGAGCCAGAGGCTCTCGCAGACAAGCTGGCGCCAGGCTTTCACACAATCACAGGATATGTAAAGACTTCAATAACGACCCATTAGGCCTAATGATTGAGAATCGACCAGGCGTTAACTCCTCCATGCATATGTTAATGTGATGCGGGACGGACCTATATATATATTCAGGCCGCTTCTGGAGGCCTGGCAAACTGTCTTGGATTGTACTCGGATACATTCACGTCCTCAGACACACAGACCGCAATCATGGTGAAGAAGTTTTCTGTGGACTGGCTCGCACAAAGCTTTCACGGTTCGCCGCCTCAAGACGTTCTGGAGCCGGAGAAAGAGACGCGCAGGCCACACGTGCCGTGTGTGGTTCAGCCGAGACCTCCAACATCACATGACAAGGTTTATTTGCAGCCAAAACCAAAGGTTAACAAAGCTGAACAGAAACCAGAGACCGTTAAAGAGAAGGAGGTCACAACTCTGGTTACGCAAAGAAGCTGCTCATCTCCAAGCTGTAAGTATACGCGCTTCGATGCATTTTCGGTTTTTATTCAAGTGAATGACAATAGAGTGTGTTTTAATGTTATATTACATGTTCAGTTTCAGAAAACAGCGGATATTCGTCTGGTTATGAGAGCGAAGCGGCCGCGTCTGAATGCGCTTCCATCGATGGACACGAGACTGAGAAAGACGCGGCGACGCGAAGAATCAGAACCAAATTCACTCCGGAGCAGATCGACAAACTGGAGAAAATCTTCAGCAAGCACAAATACTTGGAGGCGGGAGAGAGAGTGAAAACAGCTTTGAAACTCAACCTGTCCGAAACTCAGGTGAGACGCGCGCAGACTACTCTCTTCACTCGAGGACTGTATTTACATCTAGCCAATTATTTTCTCCAAATACATTGAGAATAAAAAGCCTCCTCTTATACACCGAAAAGACTAGTCAGTTTCACAAAATGTCAAGGAATTGGCAAATAACACTTGAATGAAATCGTATTTTCTTGTAAAACATGGGCTTCTCCAATAATCGTATTTGAAATGATTCGAAAAGTAACGTTTTGAAAAAAAAAATAGAATGCATTTTAAATGTATCTTTTCGTTCTTTAGGTCAGAACAAAAGTAACGTTTTGAAAAATCGAACGCATTTGAAATGTATCTTTTTGTTCTCCAGGTCAGAACTTGGTTCCAGAACCGCAGGATGAAGCTGAAGCGGGAAGTGCAGGAGATGCGCGCTGACTATCTGCTGCCAAAGATGGTTCTTCCGCACGTGCTTCCGGTTCAGTACCACTGCTACGACAGACAGCGACTTCCGTTTCCGCCTCACGGCGCGCTGATGCCGCAGATGATGCCGCTGGCTCCTCATCACCAGCTCATCTGTCTCCAGCAGCATTACTACTGAAGACAGACACATCCAGAGACTCGTTCCTTTAAAACACTTAAATCACATTCTGTGTGCAATATCTGTACAGTTATGCTTTTGGTAAAAAAAAAAAAAAAAAAAGGGTTTAATTAAAAAGAGGAGTTTATTTATTATCAGAAATAAAGTATTTGTTATGCCTAAGTTTGCGTTACTGGTGATTTATCCGTGTTCAATTTGAACTTTACAGGCTTAGAGTTCACATTTGATAAGACTGGTTTCAGAAGTGAATCGATCTGAAATATGTGTTGTTCAAATGCTTTTAATCTCAATCCGTTTCCTGTGAAGTTAACAGATGCTGTGACATGCACTCAACTCGAGAGTGACTCTATTTAGACTTTATTCAGGAATGCAGTGTTTTCTTGGATCATTTCACATACTTGATATAAGTTAAAGTAAATTATTGATCATCTGCAACCAAATGCCATCAATAAAATGATCTGATCTGAAAATTATCATTTGTGATCTGACAATTATGTATTTGTACATCATTTATCTCGGGTCAGCAAAGTCTAAATAATGTATTTATTTATTTCCTATAATGCAACATCAACATAGAAATATATAAATATTTTTATTTATTAATTTATGCTGCATTTTAGGTTTCTGGATTTATTATATATAGATATATAAACCCAGTTCAGATTTGAAATCGAGTGAAAAGCAATAGATTGTTATTAGTGATCATACATGGTGCCATTTATATGCATGAAAAGCGTTTAAAAGCATAGCATAAATACAGGCTCACATTATTACCAAATAGAATGTACACCCTGAAGCTAGTTAAATATGTGAGTTAGAGCTGTCCCACACAGAAAAATATAATGCAACATCAACACTTTTTATACCCAAAGAACAATATGCATGCTTCTTTTTTTAAAGTGGTTATTTTTCATTAAGCATTTAAGATGCCATTTGTGCACACGTGGAGAAGGAGGTTGGCATACAGACCTACAATAATACGATGAGATGTATTTAAATCAAATGTAGGCGCCGAAGAAACCCTCCCTAAACCCTGCAGTGCATTGATCCGCTGCGCCACGGTTTCACAATGCGCTTTCATATGCGCGCAACTCCACGCACTTCAAACGAGACCTAACGAGCAGATCGTGGTCAACAATTAGTCCTAATTAAGTCGCCCATTGATGAGTTTACACTCTCCACATAATCCCAACAGACTGGCTCCAGCATGTCTGGGTTGTGTGTGTGTGTGTGTGTGTGAGTGTGAGTGTGTGAGTGTGAGTGTGAGTGTGTGTGTGTGAGTGTGAGTGTGAGTGTGA